AAGCCCTTGAGACACCCAGAAGCATATGGAGGGTTGTTGTTGTTAAGTGCCATCCAGTCGGTTCCTATACAGGGTTTCAGAGGAACGACTGGTGCATTTGAACTGCCAATCTTGTGGTTCAAACTGACTTTGAGGTCAAGTGCTTACCTACAGTGCCACACCAGAACTCAGTATGCAGGGTGGGGGAGGGGTATAAAGGGATACCTGCTTCAGGTTCAAATCCAAGGGCTTGACAAATGAGGCGTGCAATGACACTAGAGGTGCCAGACAAGAGGGGAGAAGGTGTTTCTACCTTGCATCGCTTATCAATGTCTATTCATCCTGAAATCCTAGGAAGAAGGCGAGGTGGATTACTGAACGGTTAGCCACTGGAAATCTTAAGAAGAGCAGCAGAAATACAAGGGCAGGGAGTGCAATTTAGAGATTGCACTAATGCTCTACACCCCTGTGAGGAAAGAAGAGATCTACTGGTAGCTTAGTGGTTACGAATCGGGCTGCCAACCTTAAGGTCAGCAGTTTGAAAGTACCAGCTGTTCCGCGGGAGAAAGATCAGGCTTTCTGCTCCGGTAAAGATTTCCAGCCTCCGAAACCCTGTACAGGATCACCATGAGTCGGAACCGACTCCACCGCACGTAACCACCTACAATATTCTTTGGCTTTTTGACGTGAGGAGAGTAATTCCTTATTTAAATGTGACCTGAAGAATGCTTTTTCTTCTGGAGAAATTTATATTTATATAGCGGAGTCCTGGTGTGGCGCTGTGGGTTAATGTGCTGGACTACAAAGTGGGTTTGAACCGCAACGTCAGCGGTTCAAGCTCACCAGCTGTTCTTTGGAAACCCTATACAGGGTCGCTATGGGTGGGAACTGACTCGACGGCACTTAACAACAACGTCATACACGATTTCCAGTCCTAGGCACCAGGGTACAACAACCCGAAGTACTGTTGCTTTATATGTTTTGTTCACTGTTGTGGAGATGGCAACAAATTCTCCTGCTCTGCTCCTGACCTGGTGACAGGGTGGTATCATACTCTGCTGTCAGAATTCTTTTTTGTGTGTGTCCTTTCAGGCTCTTGGGGGGGGTGGGGGTGGGGGGTTCCGTGGAATCAGTTCCGAAACATAGCAACTCTGTATAAGGTTTCCGAGGCTGTAAATCTTTATGGGAGCCAAAAGCCTCATCTTTTTCCCATGCAACAGCTGGTAGTTGCGAACTGCTGGTCTTGAGGTTAGCAGCCCTACTCTTTACTATCCTACTAGACTATTTGGTATCCTAGCTATGTTGTTGTTGTTAAGTGCCGTCGAGTCGGTTCCGACCCATAGCGACCCTGTACAGGGTTTACGAGGGTGTAAATCTTTACGGGAGTAGAAAGCCTCATCTTTCTCCCGCAGAGCGGCTGGTAGTTTCGAACCGCTGACCTTAAGGTTCGCAGCCTGATTCGTAACCACTACGCTACCAACCTGATTTTTTCACTCTTACCTAGACTACACAGGAGTCCTGCTGTGGAACTGTGGGTTAATGCGCCAGACTGGAAAGTCGTTTGAACTGCAGGGTTGGTGATTTAAGCTCATCAGCTGCTCCTCAGAAGTCCTATACAGGGTCGCTATGGGTTGAAACCTACTCAGTGGCACTTAACAACAGCAACCTAGACTACACTCTTTGATGATTTGGGTCTTGGATACCAATGGTGCTGGCTGTGAAAATTATTAGCTTTTGGACATTGGGAAAGTTATTCAATATCTCTTTCATTTTTTTGTCTGTGAAATTTTAATAATAACTCAGAACTCATTGTATGGTGAAAAATAAATGACACTATAGAATTTAGTATCTGGACTGTAGTGAGTTTTAAATAAATCTCAACTATAAGTATTAGTTAATGCACAAGACTGTAAAGCCATTTGAACTGCAAGGTCAGTGGTTCAAGCTCACCATCTGGTCCTTGGAAACCCTATACAGGGTCGCTATGGGTTGGAACTGACTCGACAGCACTTAACAACAACAACAAAGGAGTATTAGTATTACTGAAAAGGTTAAATACTTCTAAACAAAACAAAAAGGCTCCACATAAATAAAGCTCTTACTGAGCTTGGCAATTTGCTGAGACCTGTTTATGAGGTTATTGACTTAGCTTTCTATTTTGATTTTCTTGGTCTTCAGTATCATTTAGGTATCAATAGTTACTTTCCCTTGCAATGAGTTCCTGCGGCCGCTCAAGGTAGAATTGCCAGGAAATGTGGTCTTCCCCCTGTGTCTGTACCATTGAACATTTATTGGAACACTTTGTGACTAGACAGCTTCATATCACTGTCTCAGTCACCTTTGGTTATGTGTCGGGGAGTTGGTTCCAATTCATAACAACCCTGTGGAGGGTTTCTAAGGCTGTAAATTTTGATGGGAGCAGAAAGCCTCATCTTTCTCCTGTAGATCAGCAGGTAGTTTCAAACTTCTGACCTTGAGGTTAGCAGCCTGACTCGTAACCACTATGCTACCAGAGCACCATCGCACTTTAGAGTTCTCAAAATGGGGTGAAAAGACTAACTGCATTGGAACCATCTGTAATGTTTAAGAGTGCAGAATACTGCCTGCCCCTCTATACACAAATGCCTATTAAGTTAGAATATTTGGTGATGAGGCCCAGAAACCCATAAATGTCCATTCACCCTGGTGAGAGTTGCCAAATAAAGTATAGATGCTGTTAAATTTGAATTTCAGATAACTAATAAATCTCTTTTTAGTAGTATTAATGTTGTTGTTGTTATGTGCCGTGGAGTCAATTCCAACTCATAGCGACCCTGTACAGGGTTTCTGAGGCTGGAAATCTTTACGGGAGCAGAAAGCCTCATCTTTCTCCCACGGAACAGTTGGTAGTTTCGAACTGCTGACCTTGTGGTTCGCAGCCTGATTCGTAACCACTACGCTAAATACTTGAAACATATACTTAAAAAATTATTTGTGGCTCTTATGAAATTTAAATTTAACTGGGCATGTCTAGTTTTATTTGCTAAAACTGGCCAACTTATTCTAAGTGCACATTGAAGTTTAAGAAATTGTTTTAGTGGAATATTCGCAGCATAGTTCCCACTGAGGCAAGTAGGGCACTGGAATTTTGTTTTTAAAGAAAGCTATTCGGTGCCTTGTCGGACGCTATCTGTTCCCTGTGCTCTTTTCTGTGTCCTGTTGCAAACATCATTTGGTTCAAGATGAGGGCTCATAGTCCCATAGTGTGTGCTCATTGGTTGGAGTTGGAGTCCTCACAGAGAAGATGCTCCAGAAAGTATCTTTGTCTCTCTTCAACCTGTCCTTGTTAACTCCCCCAGATGATTACTGATGAATGTGAGGGCCTCGTGTTGTTGTTGTTAAGTGCCGTCAAGTCAGTTCCGACTATATAGGATTACTGAGGAGTGGCTGTTGAGTTTGAACCACCGACCTTGTAGTTCAAGTCAACCTAGTGGTTCAGTGCATTATCCCACACCAGGACTCCAAATTCTTGTCTAGGGTGGGGTCTAGAGTGCTGGTGGGGGTAGTAGGCGGTTGAGTGTTTTCCAACATAGTGACCCTGTATAGGGTTTCTGAGGTTTACAGAAACAGAATGGCTGTTAGATTCGAACTACTGACCTTTTGGTTAGCAGCCCAATATGTAACCATTATGCTACCAGGACGCCTTTTAGAAGAAGGAAGGAGAAGGAGGGCCTCTAGTGTACCCATTATCTTTGATCAAAGGCACCCTGAGCAACTTGTTCTAACCTTCTCTTCCCCAGTAGACACATTCAGATACTCATAGAAAGTAGTTCAGCTGCTCACATGATTCATTCCTCCCTTGAAAAGTGCCATCCAGTGCAGCAGCCTGAAGGGACCCTCAGTGTCCATCAGAATTCTTTCTACTCAATGGTGGAAGCAGAAAGAGAGGACTACTTTCCTTTCATGTGCTAGAGTATGCATTGAGAGGACTTGGGATCAATTCAGGAAGGAATCAATAGAAATTTCCATGAAATAGCCAACATGTCATTTACTCTATATCCTAGAGTATGATGTTGCAAACTCAAACTGGTATAATAAATGAGCGATGTGATAAGAGCAGGGGATGGCGATAACAATCCAAAAAAATCCACATTTCAAGAAAGGAAGCTCTTCTTGGCTTCAGCTACTTCGTTAGAGTTTGGACTCAGTGTTTTAAAAAAGCTCAATGTCTGGGTTTTTATATAAAGTCTCCTGATTTTAAAATGTTGGGAACAAATTCATAATTTTTGTAAACATTGAGTAAACTAAGTAAAAATGCCTCTGTGTACCCTATTAGGTTCTTTAAGAAGTTATTTTTCTACTTTGTTCTAGAGTATATTCCATGGTAATGAATATATCACCATTTCATTGTATGAATAAAATAATCCCATTGCATTTTGTTTGTTCAGAATTTGATCCCAAAGCTCTTGAAACTTAGTGATGACTTTAGGTTTTATACAAACATATAAAATACATTAAATCAATTGCGTAGTAAATCCAATAAATATTAAAGTGATTAGGCTATCTAATCAAGACAATAGTCATTAAGGCTAAGGCATGGCCAGTCAAAACAGGTGACTTTTATCTCACAGTTGATTATTGAGTGGTTCACATGATTGAAGAGACCTGACTTCAGAGACATACCTTTGCCTTGGAGAACCACTGGATATTCTCGCATAGACCAAAGAGGATAGGCTTAGACTAGCTGTCACAAGTCACCGTTCACCCTGCAAGCTTACAAGGAGACTTTAGCTTGAGATGTCAGTTATTGTAGTAGACAAATTATGGGTTCATTGGGTGGCCTGGAGGAAGGGGAATAGTAGTCATCTCTTACTTCCCTTCTGTGATAAAAAAGAATAAATTAGTCCATTAAATATGAACATACCTTGGAAAGAAGTGTCTGAAAAAACAGAATGAGCATAATTTAGAGTCTTCCCTGCGTAGTCCCCCAGCAAGCTTATTTTACATGGAATAGCTAATTTTTAATCTCTTAATTTCTGTAGGGGAACAGGGTGTGTGCTGCTGGTTTGGGCTACTTTTTTCATCTTGAGAACAGCAAAACATCGCAAGCTCCACTTCTCTCCTTTACCCAGAACATTGCACATTCTTGTACAAGGTAACTTTGGGCAAATGGATATAGGATTTATTACTTAGATGAGACACTCACACAAAGAGTGCAGCGTTTATCATTTGAAAGAGATTTGACAATACCCCTGTGTAAGGATATTGGTGAAGAAAAGGGAAAAAAGAGAGCAGTCATTTAAGGTAAGTAGTAGGGTCAGAAGAGAATTCAATAGAGAGAGTAATGAAACTGCCAAGGAGTAATTGGCAATGCAGAGCCCCGGGAAGGCTGGAGTGCATGGACTCAGGAGCCGAGGTGGTGACAAGGCTCTGTGCCTGGACCTGGTATATTACATAGCATTATTGTATAAGTACATATAGGCATACCTCAGAGAGAGTGAGCATTAAGTTCCATACCACCATAATAAATTGAATATCTCAATAAAGGGAATCACACAAATGTTTTGGTTTCCCAGAGCATATGAAAGTTATGTTCACATTATGCAATAGCATTATGAAAGTTAAGAAATATTTTGAGAATTATCAAAGTATGAGACACAGAGACATGAAGTAAGCACATATTGTTGGAAAGGTTCTGCCAATAGACATGCTGGATGCAGTGTTTCCACAAACTTTCAGTTTATATGTATAAAAACTTAGTATCCACAGAGTACAATAAAGCAAAACACAATATGATGAGGTATGCCTGTAGTATAAATACACAATTATAAATCCTATAGAATATGTGAGGAATCCTGGTCATGCTGTAGGATAAGCTCTGGACTGCTAACCACAAATTCAGTGGTTCAAACCCACCAACAACTCCAAGGGAAAAAGATGAGACTGTCTGCTCCTGTACAGAAATGCAGATCTCCATAAGGTCACTGAGAGTTGGAATCGACTTGATGGCAGTAGGTGCTGTTGGTCTTTTATATAATATGCACTGTGGTGTTGTGCTGTAGGATAAACATTGGATTTATAACTGCAGGGTTGGTGATTCAAACCCACCAGCCATACTTGGAAACCCTTTGTAGGGTTGCTATGATACAGAACTCCACAACATACAACAGCAACTGTAGGATGAGGTGAAGAGAGGGGATAATTTAAATATTGTTGTTGTTGTTAGGTGCCATCGAGTTGGTACCAACTCATAGCGACCTTATGCACAGCAGAATGAAACACTGCCCGATCCTGGGCCAACCTCTTAGGAGGAGGGTAAAGGAGATCTATCATGCTGACCTCTTTGTTGTGATGGTTCACTACTGAGAGCAGGGGAATGGTGAAACAAAGTAGGGTGAGTAATTCAAGGGGTGTGCGGAAAATGTGGATTTCACAGCCAATAAGGCTGTTTCAGATTTCCCATCTTGATTCTTCTAGTAAATTCCTTTTTTTCTCTCTTAGAGTCTCTCTATCTTCCTAATTATCTTCCTTATTTATAACTTGAGAACCACATATATTGAAATTTGGTCTGAGAATTAGGGATAATTCATGTAATGTATCTAAGAGAGCACCTGGAAACTAGTAAACAAACCAAACCAAACCCCTTGCTGTAGAGTTGATTTTAACTTATAGCAACCCTAGGAGTCTTGGTGTGGTGCTGTGGGTTAATGCATCAGACTGCAAAGCCAGAGGTGTGCACTCTCCTAGGGAGGAAGAGAGTAAATCTAGAGAGGGGCTGCCAGACTAGCAGGTGATCATGGTAGTTTACCTCCTATTATAATCCAGGAGCAGGTCATGGAGGGTAAATGATTGGAAAGACTAAGGAATGGACAAAAGAGGTCTCATCGCCACTCTCTCTCATTCACTCTCTTGACTTTTGTATTTTTCAATGAGAAAAAATGGAAAACATTGAAGTTGACTAAGTTTCATTGTTTGTTTTGTTTTCTAGGTATGGTCTTTTTGTATATCCTAAATTTCAGCCAACATGGGATAATGATACTCCACCCACTATGTTCCAAAACTTCACAGTTTGGGGCAGTGCAGGTGGTGCCCAGGTAAATGTGTCTTTAGTTATTATTATTGTTATTATTATTTTTAAAGCTTTCCTTTATTTTCTAGTGATCATTTACTTAGCATCTCTATTTAAAGGGAGGTGATTTGCTACTGGGGAGCACTGCAACATTATCACAGTTTTAAAGCGCCAATAGGTATATAAGGAATGGCTGTTGAATGAGCCAATTCAAAATCAGTAAGCATGGTTAGTCGATTGCCTCTGTGGTGACTTTTTAGTAGCTCTGATAGAGAACAACTGAATCATAGAATTTTATAACCAGGAGGGAGTCCTTTTGTGGCACTGTAGGAGAAAGTGGTAGACTGCTATCTATAGGGTCAGTGGTTCAAACCCACCAGTTGTTCTTTGGAAACCCTATATGGCATCATTGTGAGTCAGAATCGACTCAACAACACTTAACAACATAACCAGGAGGGAATGCAGTGTCACTATGAGTTAGGACACAACTGACTCGAAGACACAGCAACATAATCAGGAGGGAATGTAGAAGTGATCCATTTATTCCTTCCCATCTCCATTGAGAGAGAAAAAATTTTAGTAAGTAAAGAGACTAGTCCAAAGTCACACAATTAATGAGTAGCACAACCAGGTGCCAATTCTAGGATCTAATACTGCACATTTGACACCCTTCATTGAATAATAAATGCTTTAGGCATAATGCTGATCAAGGGGAGCACAAAAATTCTAGCCCAAAGTGTTAATCTTTAAAAATGAGTTGAATTTATATTTTTATAAATTATAATTATAAAAAAAGTTTCATGTTTGATCTTTTAATTTTTATTGTTAAAATAATTTTCTAACATGTTCGTCATTAACAACATTTAGTTATTATTCAAGATTACTAGTTGGTGTTATACAGAGAAAATTGTATGTACCTGTTCTCTGTCACTTAGGATGCTATTGCTAAGATATATAAATCAAATTCACTGTCATCAATCCGATGTAAACATTTACGGGAGCAGACAACTTCATCCTATAGATGAGGAAATATGTTTATAAGGAATTTGAGACATGAAATAAGAATACAAAATTAAGTCACCATAAGAAAATCAGACCTTTATTTTATATATTCACCAGGACAATGAAAATTGTTACTGGAAAAGGCATAAAAATCTAGCATTGGGGTAGCAAAAAGGAAAAACCCCAATGATAGCATTTTATTTTCACTTACTTTTATGAAGTATGTTGATTTTTTAAACACTATGGATATAAAGTGTTCCTGGTGTAACAGTGTAGGACCAGCACTGGACTGCTAACCACAAGTTCGACAGTTCAAACCCACCAGCTGCTCCTTGAAAATCCTACATAGGGTTGCTATGAGTCGGAACCAACTTGATGGTACTTAACAACAACAACAACATGGATATACAGGTGAAAAATATCTGTTGAATTCCCTCTTATGTAGAGAAGCAATTCATAGTCTAGGGAATTAAACTCTGTAGTAGACACTTCCTCTAGCCTTGTTCTAGAAGAAATAAACCCAATGAAACTCAATATTGGTGGTGGTTATGTGCCGTGGAATTGGTTCCGACTCTTAGCGACCCTGTACAGGGTTTCCAAGGCTGTAAATTTTTATGAGAGCAGAAAGCCTCATCTTTCTCCATGGAACAGCTGGTAATTTCGAACTGTTGACTTTGCGGTTCACAGCCCGACTTGTAACCACTACGCTACCAGAACAAAACTCAATATTAGAAGATGCTAATTGTAGACATTTCTCAAGTTCTACAGTCAGAAATTCTGAACCTGTGAGAAGAAAAAAAAAAAAAAAAAAAAAAGCCTTACTGATGAATTTTTTCCGTATTAACTTTAATTGCTCAAAATCTCAGATAATGAAAATGCTTTTAAACTTCACTTTTTTGAGATGGAATAAAGGGGAAATTGAATAGCATGATAGTTACTGTGTTTGGGTGCCACTGCAACAATTCTGACTCATAGCAACCTCATAAAGATTTCTTGACTGTAAGCAAATCTCCAGGTCTTTTTCAAGTAAAGCTTCCAGGTGGGTTTTAACTGCAAACTTTTGGGTTAGTAGATGAGCAAGTAAACATCCTCATCGGTACATATGCAAACCAAAGCCACTGCTACCGAGTAGATTCCAACTCATAATGACTCTATAGGACAGAGCAGAACCTATCCATAGGACTTCCAAGGCTTTATGGAAGCCTTGTCTTTCTCCCATGGATCAGTGGAATAATTGAGTAAGTGCCTGCATGTACACTGCCTAGATCTTAATGAATACACAATGACTCTCTTTCTCAGTCATTGAGCTGATTCCGACTCATAGCAACCCTATATAGGATTCTGAATGTGTCAATCTTTACAGGAGCAGAAAACCTCCTCTTTCTCCTGTGGCGTCACTGATGAGTTTGAATTGCTGACTTTGAGTTAACAGTTCAGTGCTTATTCTACAGCATCACCAGAACTTCCTTGAAATATAATCAGGTCTAAATATTATCAATGCTAATAAAAATTAGGTGTTAATAGGTCTGTGTTGATAGGTCTCTGGAAATTTACATCAAGAAGCGTCTTCTCTCATTGGCTACCCAAAATGGGGGTGGGGGAGGGTGCTATGAAGGCAAGAAGTGACTGGACTACAAGGTTTCAAGAATGAGTCTAGTTCCAGTCGGGAAAGGTCAAACCTCCACTGAATGATTTCCAATCTGTTGGGACCAGGCTGGAGAAAGGAGATGGGGATAAGACTCTTGCGGTACAATGGTGAATGGTTGCCATTGGGACTGACTGTGAGGGTTGGAAATGTAGAGGTAGATGTTTTTTGACAAAAGGAGGGGAGTGATTGATTTTGCAGCCCAGGGGTGGAGGTCCCTGGGACCATCAATTGAGAAGAGCAGAGAGTGTGACCCTACCCAGAGAGACAGTGACGCTGGGGATGGAGACAGAAACGATGACATGGACAGATGCAGTGGCTGGGGACACTAGACTCAGAGAGGGAGAGGGACTGTGTGCTGATGGCTGGGGGGTGGGCAGGCCTGTGTGATGTACTCTTTGGTTATTTGATGATGCACGGAGGGGATTGTATTCATTGCAATGAAATAAAATATGATAGGATGAATGTAAAACAGATGTTCTCCCATGTAAACCCACATAATTCACAATAAAAACTTAAAAAAAAAAAAGTGTCTTCTGAGCCATCAAAAAGTACATTGTGTAGACTGGTCTATATGGTGAACAATAACATTAGAGAAGGCTCTACTCCTTAGAGCATCAATCATTCTAGAACAAAAGGGCAGCATTTTCCCAAGGACAAAGTTGAGAAGGGTTAGAAAAGAAGGAAGAATGGAAACAAAGACATAGGGAAGGAGTGGGATGAGTGATGCTACAATGTGAGGATCACAATCAATGATATGAAGCAAAATGTGTATGGACTGTTTAAAGGAAAATGGATTTGCTCCTTAAACCTTCACCCAATTCACAGGAAAATGCTAAAAAGTATTGTGTTTACATTTCATCTACTTTTAATCTTAACTGTCTAGATGATATTTCTGGTGTGTATACATATACATTTATATCTATTTGATAATACTACTAGCTAATATTTATTGTGCACTTTCTCATTTAATCATCATAACAACTTTATGGGAAAGGGCATGCCATTGTTATCTTCCTTTTATAATGAGAAACTCTCTGGGGAGATATTGTTTTGCGAATGTTAACACAGCTAAGAATTGCTAGATTCTAACTGTAGCAATCTAAGCATTCTATATATGTATATTAACAACACTTGAGAAAAATACCCTCTTCTTATCATGTCTCAGAAATGCAGAGTAATTGTTTATAGAAGAGGGAGAGAGAGAGAGAGAGATGTGAAAACTAATATTCATACCACAAATAGATACATTTTGCCAGTCTTTTGTTTTCCTTGTAGAATTAGCAGTAGAATTAACAGTTTCACTAGTTAATTCTAGGGTTGACTGAATCTAAGTGTATTTGGCAGACCTTGGACTAATGTCTATAATTAGGTTATAACTGTAGTTAAGTCATCCATTCACATCTTGCAGTGTTTGTTTAAAGAAACCTCTGTCTCTTTCAAAGAGCTATCATTTTATTTATAAAACAAAACAAAAACTTCAGATGAATACATGTATAAGAGGGAATGGAAGTTACTCAATTTTAAAAAATTCAAGCAAAACCAATCAGCAAGTAGAAAGACAATATGATAAATAAGGATACTTTGGCCTTAACTTAATAGAAAGATTTCAGTTTAAGTTTTGAATGCAAACATGACCCTGTTTACTGACTATAGGGATGGTTAGGTTAGATGATACCCCATATCTTCACCTAGTGTTAAGTTGCTTAAACAGAAGCCTAAATGAGGTGACATGTCTTGCCCAAGATCACATGAGAGTGCAGTGGCTCCATAAGATAAGCACTGAAATGTGAAACACAAAGTTGGCAGTTCTAGCCCACCAGCTATGCAGTGGGAGAAAGATGAGGTTTTCTGTTCCCATAAATACTTATAGTCTTAGAAACTCTATACTGAACGACACTTAACACCAAGAACATATAGTTAGCTACTATAAAAGCAAACTGAAAACCCAGGCTTCTTCTGCCTGTCAGGTTAATGACGTTTTGTTATTATCTGATCCCTGTTTAGGCACACGGACTCAAGTAGCCATTACTGTAGATGCAAATAGCATTTGCTGAGACTGAATTCAGTGTTTGTCCTTATGATGAATTATTGATTTTATACTTGCAAGTTTCTTAGGATATCGGTGGTGGTGGTGGTGGTGGTGTTCTGTCAGATTGCTTCCGACTCACAGCAACCCTGTACAGGGTTTCGAAGGAGCAGCTGGGGGGTTTGAGCACCAACCGTGCAGTTAGCAGTCCAATGTTTATCTGACGATGCCACACCAGGACTCCAATGATATTGATGCATTAAAAAGATCACAATAAATTCCCCACATATCTAAAAAAAAGCTGTAGTTGCCAATCACACTAAATTAATGGGTTAAAACAGAGGAATCAAGAACTCCAGTGTAGTTTATATTAACTCCTCAAAGTAGTTTATATTAACTAATATCATAAGACAGGAGCCCTGTTAGTGTTGTGATTTCAAGTTGGGTTGCTAACCGAAAGGTCAGCAGTTCAAACCTACCAGCTGCTCTGTGGGAGAAAGATGAGGCTTTCTGCTCCTGTAAAGATTTATAGTTTCAAAATTCCAGAGGCTCTTAACAACAACAATCATGAGGAGAATTGAAAAGTACAGAAGGCTGTGCTACTGAAAAGGACCAGTAAGTGCTGACCTTGTGGCAACTTTGGGATGTCTGTAAAGACATTGATGGAGAAAGGCTGTTCAAATACTGTGTAGCATGCTTATTTATACTTAATCAATAATTAAAGAAGCTAGAGGAAGTCTGAAAGAAAAAAACAACCTGAAGACCTTTGCCATAACATATGCTATTCTTTTATAGATTTTTAGAAATAGCAATCTTCACCTAAAAAACTTCCAAGTTTATTCATGCAGAGATTTTGGAATTGACATCTTGGAAAGTGATGCAAATACTTCAGTTACTGACAGCTTATTAGTCGGTCATTTTGCCCACAAGGTAAGTGCCTCTGTCTGGTTGTTTTAGGTTCTCTATCAAAACAGAATCACATATGTTGGACTCCCTGGTGACTCAGGATATGTCATTTTAATAGCATTTTTTAGTGAATCTTGTATTTCATTGGTAAAAGTTAGAGGAACTTTTTATTTGTAACAGTGGTGATTGTTGTTAGGTGCCATCAAGTCAGTTCTGACCCATAGCAACACTGTATAGGGTTTCTGAGGAGAAGCTGGTGAGTTTGAACCCCCAACCTTGCAGTTAAGACTGACTTTGCAGTCTAGTGCATTAACCCACAGCACTACACCAGGACTCCAACAGTGGTGATAATGATAATGAAATCCAAATATACAAATGATTTCAATGCTAGATGCCCAGATAAATCATAAAAGGTGTTAAGTTATTTGCTTATAATTTAGAATTATTTATATATAGTGCGCCAGACTGCAAAGCCATTTGAACTGCAAAGTTGGTGGTTCAAGCTCACCAGTGTCTCCATGGAAACCCTATATAGGGTCGTTATGGGTCAGAACCGATTCAACGGCACTTAAGAACAACAACAACAACAATGTACAAATTTAGCACTAAATCTACTCATTTAGGTTAATTTTTTCTAACCTCATAGGATTATGGTCTAGCATGATTCCATATCATTCCTCTTCTTTGTATCAACATTTTCTTCATGGGGACTTACTCCATTTAGGGGACTTTAAAAAGAGAGGTATCAGTACGAGTATTGTTGAGTGAACCTCATGTATGTCAGAATAAAACTGTATTCCATAAGGATTTCAATGGCTGAATTTTCAGAAGTATATTTCCAGATATTTCTTCCAAGGTATCTCCAAGTTGACTAAAACCTCCCACGTATTGTTAGCAGCTGAGCAATTTACCCATTGACATTACCCAGGGATTCTAAAACAAAGGTAGAATCAATCTGGTAATTTGAATTTTCTTATGGTTTGCTATAGTGTAGTAGGATTTCTTATGTAATTCCATGTTGTTTTTGTTGTTATGTGCCATCGAGTCTATTCCTATTCATAGTGACCCTGTGCACAAGAGAACGAGATACTGCCCCATCCTGCATCATCCTCATAATCATTATTACACTTGAGCCCATTGCTGCTACCACAGTGCTAATCCATTCCATTGGTTGTCCTACCCTATTTTGCTGACCTTCCACTTTACCAAGCATGATGGCCTTCTCCAGAGACTGGTCCCTCCTGATAATAGGTCCAAATAAGAGAGACTTCTAGGTTTCTAGGGAGCATTCTGGCTGTACTTCTTCAAACACATATCTGTTTGTTCTTCTGGCTGTCCATTGTACCATAGTATTTTTCTCCAACACCATAACTGAATAGTCATCAATTCTTGTACCATCTTCTTTATTTATTGTCCAACTTTCACATGTGTATGAGACTATTAAAAATACCATAGCTTGGGTCAGACCACCTTAGTTCTCAAACGGACATATCTTTACTCTTGAATGCTTTAAAGAGGTCTTGTGGAGTAGACTTGCCCAGGGCAATCTGTTGCTTGATTTCATGAGAACAACTTCCATGAGTGGTGATAGTGTATTCAAGCAAAATGAAGTCTTTGGCAACTTCAATCTTTTCTCCATTTATCATGATGTTGTTTTAGGTCCACTGATGAGAATTTTTCTGTTTTCTTTACATTGAGGTGTGACTCATACTGAAGATTGTGGTCTTTTATCTTCATCAGTAAGTATTTTAAATGCTCTTTGCTTTTAGCAATCAAGGTTGTATAATCTGCATATTACAGATTGTTAATGAATCTTTCTCCAATCCTGATGCCACATTCTTCTTCACACAATCCAACTTCTCAGGCTATTTGTTCAGCATTGAGATTGAATAAATATAGTGAAAAATACAATCCTGGCACACACCTTTCCAGGTTTTAAAGCATTTAGTGTACCATTATTCTGTTGGAACACTGTCTCTTAGTCTATGTACAGGTTTTTCATGAGTACAATAAAGTGTTCTGGAATATTCATTCTTTGCAATGTGACTCATAGCTTGTCATGATCCACACAGTAGAAAGTCTTTGCATAGTCAATAAAGCACAGGTAAACACCTTTCTGGTATTCTTTGCTTTCAACCAAGATCCATCTGATATCACATCCTTGTCTGAATGTGCCTTGAATCTGGCTGTCAACATATTATTGCAGCCATTGTTTAATTATCTTTAGCAAAAATTTTACTTAAATGTGATATTGATAATACTGTTTGATAATTTCTGCATTCCATTGGGTCTCCTCTATTTGGAATGGGCACAAATGTGGATATTTTCCAATCAGTTGGCCATGTCTCCCAAATTTTTTGGCAAAGATGGGTGAGTGTCTCCAGTGTTACATCAGTTTGTTGAAAGATTTCATTTTATTACCCATCATCTCAGAGTTTTGTTCTTTGCCATTTCCTTAAGTGTACCTTGGGTTTCTACCTTCAGTACTATTGGCTCTTGATTATATGCTAAATCTTGAAATGGTTGAACACCAACTATTTTTTTTGGTAGTGACTCTGTGTATTCCTTCCATCTTCTTTTGTGCCTCTTGGCGTCATTAAATGTTTTGTCCATATTGTTGTTGTTAAGTGCCATAGAGTTGGTTCTGAATATTAGAGACCCTGTACAGAGTTTCTGAGGAGTGGTTGGTGGGTTTGAATCACTAACCTTGTGATTCAAACCGACTTTGCAGTCCAGTGTTTATTCTACAGGGCCACACCAGAACTCAAAGCTTGTATTTTTTTCTTCAGTTCTTTCAGATTGATAAATGCTGAGCATGTGCTTCCATTTTGGTTTCTAATGCCGGGTCTTTGCACATTTCATTGTAGTACTTTTTCTTCTCAAGTCACCTTTTGAAATTTTATGTTCAGCTCTTTTGCCTCTTCATTTCTTCCATTTTTTTAAGCATCTCTATGCTAGAGAGCAAGTTACAGAGTCTCTTCAGACATCCATTGTAGTCTTTTTGTTCTTTCTTGTCTTTTTAATGACCATTTGCTTTTTTCCTGTATGATGTTCTTGATGTCATCCCACATTAGTGCCTAATGCCTCAAATCTGTTCTTGCGATGATCTCTAAATTTAGATTGATATATTAGAGCTCATACTGTGGCTCTCTTATGGACTAGTTTTAATTTCTTCAGCTTCAGTCCGAGCTTGCATATGAGCAATTGATGGTCTGTTCCACAATCTGCTCCTGACCTTGTTTTGACTGATGATACAGAGCTTTTCCATTGTCTCTCACCATATATGCATTCAATTTGATTTCTATGTATTCCATCTGCTGACATCCATGTATATAGTTGTCTTTTATGCAATTTAAAAGGTATTTGCAATGAAGAAGTCATTGGTCTTGCAAAAGTCTACTATGCAATCTCCAGCATGATTTCTATCACCAAGGTCATAGTTTCCAATTACTGATCCTTTCTCTTTGTTTCCAACCTTCACATTCCAATTTCCAGTAATTGGCAATACATCTTGATTGCATGCTTGATCAATTTCAAGCTGAAGAAGTTGGTAGAATTTTTCGGTTTCATCATCACTGACTTTAGTAGTAGGTAATACCACTATTTGAACAATAGTAGTATTAAGTGATCTTCCTTGTAGACATATGGATATTATCATATCACAGACAGCTTTATTTCAAGATTGATCTTGAAATGTTCTTTTTGATGACTTTGACACCATTTTTCTTCAATTTATCATTCCCAGCCTAGTAAACCATGTGATTGTCAGATTCAAATTTGCCAATACCAGTCCATTTCAGTCCAGGATATCGATCTCTATATGTTCCATTTCATTTTGACAGCTTACTGTTTTATTAGATACATTTTTCATACATTTCATGTTCTGACTAGTAATGGAAGTTCGCAGCTGTTTCTCCTTATTTTGAGTCATGACCCATCAGCCAGTGAAGGTTCTGAAAGCAATACTCCTTCATGTTATTACGGTCAACTCTACTTTTAGGAGGCATCTCTTTTCCAGTGATATTTTGAGTACCTTCCTACCTGAGGGGCTCATCTTCAGGTACTCTATCTGACAGGATTCTGGTTTCAATATATAAATATTGAATAATGTTTCAATATTAAATGTTTAGGTATTATCTGACTCTGTTGCAGTGCTATTCATAAGGTTTTCAATGGCTAAACATTCAGAAGTAGTATCCCTCTCCTTCCTAGTCTGTCTTCATGTGGAAACTCAGCTGAAACCTCTCCAACATACGTGACCCTGTTGGTATTTAAAATACCAGTGGCATAGTTTCCAGCATCACAGCAACATGTGAGCTACCACAGTTTGGCAAACAAACAGATGAGTGGTTGTGTAATTCCTTAATACGGATTAAATCTCTTGTTTTTACATTTTAAAAGTTACACTATAGATGGCTTCTCAGCCACTGCATAGCACTGTACAATCAACACAGGACTGCTAACCACAAGGTTGGCATTCAAATCCACCAACCATTCCTTGGAAACCCTATACAGTGTTGCTATGATTCAGAACTAACTTGATGGCACATAACAACAGGTAGCAGAATATAGACTAAATGGAGAACTTTCCAGAGGAGAAGTATCAGCCGTTTTTAAGGGAAAACCATGGCTACCATTGATCTATAGAAGGTCCCCTCGATTCTTGCTTGTAAAGGATTCATGAAGTGCACAGTAGTCATCACATTGTCATAATTATCACATATGCTACAGTATTCCTTCATTTCTCTCCCTGCAAATTCAGGAGTTGGGAGTCCCATGGTGGTATAAACCACTAAGCCTTCACTGCTCTGGTAGCGTAGTAGTTATGAGTCGGACTGCTAACCTCAAGGTCAGCAGTTCAAAACTACCAGCCGTTCCATTGAAGAAAGATGAGGCTTTCTACTCCTGTAAAGATTTACAACCTCAGAAACCCTATTCAAGTTTTCTATGAGTCAGAACTGACTCCATGGATAACCACTACCACTTACAGGAAAGTTGGTGGTCAAATCCACTCAGAGGCATCT